TTTTTTTTTTTTTTTTTTTTTTTTGTTTTTGTGTACATGGTCGGGTCGGGTCGGGTGTAGGGTAATCGGGTGAAATTCGGGTAAACGGGTAAAAAAACCCGAACAAATTTGTCCGGAATTATTAATTCGGGTAACCCGATTACCCGACGGGTACCCGATTACCCGACGGGTACCCGATTACCCGACGGGTAAAACCCAACCCGAACCCGGTGATGGGTAACCGGGTAACGGGTCGGGTACGGGTACGGGTTTTTCTTGGCGGGTCGGGTACGGGTATGTCAAAACCCTTACCCGACCCGACCCATTTACATCCCTAGCCCTTCTAAAAAACTGCTTTAGTTTTTCTTTTTGCTGTCGTGTTTTTTGTTAAGTTTGCTTGAACTAAGTACTTCGTTATCGTCGCTCTTTCCTTTTGAATGGATTCCTCATTGTGATGATTTTTGTCTTTTACTTTGTCGTTTTTTATTGAGTCCTCCCAAGTTCGTTTGGGGTGCCGAGCTTCTGGCCGGACTCTTTAGTGGCAAGGCCGAGCTCGTGATCGAGCTCGTCGCTGATTCGTTACTTGGCCAAGCCTCGTGATCGGGCCCGGCCTTATTAATTACGGGGCCGAGCTCGTGGTCGAGCCTGACGCTGATTTATCAATTGGCCGAGCCTCGTGATCGGGCCCGGCCTTATTAATTACGGGGCCGAGCTCGTGGTCGAGCCCGGCGCTGATTAATCACTTGGTCGCCTCACCTGTCCGAACTGTTTTACTAAGTCGGTTTGCGGTTTGGGCTAGGTGAGCTACGCGCTTGAGCTCGTTTTTTTTTTTTTCATTCCTTACAGTTGACAGCTTTGGCCTTACCGGGCTACTTTACTGAGCTCGGCTTGTGCCGGCCAGGCCATCGTACTGGCCCAACCAACACGTAATTATGTGGCAGCTTTTCCGACCGGTCTTGCATTCAGACTCGGCGGTACTATAGGCCTGTCCGGGCTTCCTAGTTGAGCCCGGCTAGTGCCGACCAAGCCATCGTACTGGTCTCGGCCGACACTTCGTTCCTTACGTTTCATTATGCCGCTTTGACTCGATCTATGCTAAAAACTCCTGTCTTATTAGAATTAGTCATGGTAGAGAGTTACATTGTCTTTTACAAAAAGTGACAAAGTAATTACGGGAGACCACCCTAAACCTATTGGTAGAACTTCTTCAGGAATGCCGAGTTCCATGGGTATTGGTGGGGGGTGCCATCGAGGTGTTCGAGGCGGTAGGCCCAGGGGCGAAACCATTAATGCCGTTGGAGAGGCGCCGGCCCTTCCAAAAAAAAAAAAAAATTCGAACTAGAGGTAGGGGTTTTGCTGGAACTGGAAGGGTGCCCTTTGAGCGCCCTTCCGATGCCGGAGCGGGGGTGGTGCGTCGCGGGATGGCCGGAGGGGCGCCACCGGAAATTCAAAATCCGAAAACACAGAGCAGCTGAGTGGGGAGGCATGAAGCCATGGAAGGGAAGCTGGATCGGAGAAAATTTGTGTTTGTGTTTGATTTTGTCGTGAAAATATTTTTTAAAGGAAAATTGGGCCCTCCCCAAATCGGGATCTTAGTTTCGCCACTGGGTAGGCCCCATGCGGGAGGACTTCGCTGATCTTGTACGGCCCTTCCCACTTCGGCTTGAGAGGCCCCGGGTCGGGCCCCGTCACCCTTTTAAGTACCAGGTCGCCGACCTGATATGAACGTGGCTTGACTCGGGAGTTGATATATCTCTCACTTCGCCTTTTGTATGCCGCGTTCTTAAGTTCAGCCCCCGCTCGATGTTCGTCAATTAGGTCCAAGTTGGCTCTTAGCGATTCGGAGTTGGACTTTTCCTCAAAGTTAATTACCCGAAATGTCGGGGCGCCGAGCTCAACTGGTATCATCGCCTCAGATCCGTATGCTAAGGAGAACGGTGTTTCGCCGGTTGACGATCTGGCAGTGGTGCGGTAAGCCCAGAGTACGCTCGGGAGCTCCTCAGGCCAACTTCCTTTTGCAGCTTCAAGTCGGACCTTGAGGCCCTGCTTGATGATCTTGTTGACGGCCTCGACTTGACCGTTCGATTGCGGATGATAAGGAGTCGAAAAGAAGTGCTTAATGTTATGCTCCTCACAAAATGTTTCTAACTTTTTCCCTTCAAATTGTTTGCCGTTGTCGGTGATTATCGAATTTGGGACCCCGAATCTGCATATGATGGACTTCCACAGGAAATCTATCATCTTCTGCTCAGTTATAGTGGCGAACGGCTCGGCCTCTGCCCATTTCGTGAAGTAGTCAACAGCGACTACCGATCAGGTCGACACCCCACTTGGCAAATGGCCATGGGCTGAAAATCGACTTCAAGGGTTGAGACGGTTGAACGATGTTGGGCGCGAAGGTTTGACACTTCGCGCATCTCCGGGCCAGATCCAAGGCGTCCTTTTTCAGACTCGGCCAGTAATAACCCTTTCTGAGGACCTTATGAGCGAGGGCGTATCCTCCGGAGTGGTTCCCACATACGCCTTCATGAATTTCCTTAAGTATGAGCTTGGCGTTCTTTTCGTCTACACATTTGAGCAGGGGTGCTGAGTAACCTCGCTTGAACAGTTCACCGGCCACGATCGTAAATCGAGCTGCCCGGGTACGAAGCTGCCTGGCCTCTTTTGGGTCAGACGGCAACGAGCCGGTCTCGAGGTACAACCAGATCGGGACCATCCAGCTCGGGTCCTGGTCTTCCCCAACCTGCTCGGCACTTAGCACGGAGGTGCCGAGCACAGAGGGTTGTTCCTTGTGGCCTACTTGAACGTATTCGACGCTTTCCACCCCGGCACTTGAGGCGAGGTGGGCTAGGGCGTCGGCCTGCACGTTCTCCGTCCGGGGATGTGTTCAATTCGGGTCCGGAGCTTGGCTAGTTTCTTCCTCACCAGCCCCAGGTAGGGGACCAGCCTCGGCTCTTTAACCTCGAATTCTCCCGATATTTGTTTGACCATCAACATGGAGTCGGAATATATGATAAGGTCGGTTAAGCTCATGGCTTCTGCAAGGTCGAGCCCGGACAGTAATGACTCGTATTCGGCTTCGTTGTTAGTACCCGGGAAAAGATACTGAACCGAATGACAGAAGAGTTTCTTCTGGGGATCCACGAGGACGACTCCTCCGCCCGCTCGTCCTGCGGTGGAGGACCCGTCCACGTACATCACCCATGGCTCCTCAGTTTTTGTTTCTTCAATTCCCGGCGTGAATTCCGCTATGAAGTCCGAGAGTACCTGCCCCTTCATTGCTGTTCGGGGTCGGTAGTGGATGTCGTACTGCCCCAGCTCCACTGCCCACTTCACCATCCGGCCGGACGTGTCCGGCCGATGTAGGATCTGTCTAATAGGGTAAGAGGTGAGAACGGCGATTGAGTACTCCAATAAATACGGCCTCAGCTTCCGGGCAACGGTTACCAGTGCGAAAGCGAGCTTTTCCATGGGTGCGTAACGCAGCTCGGCATCGTGAAGTGCCTTGCTCACGTAGTAGACCGGGTGTTGGCAAGAGTTCTCCTCCCGGATCAGGGCGGCACTCACGGCCACTTCGGATACTCCTAGGTAAAGGTAGAGTGTTTCTCCCGGGCGGGGCTTTTGCATCGTCGGGGCCCGGCAGAGGGTCTCCTTAATGGCTTCCAGTGCTTTTTGGCAGTCGGGGGTCCACTCAAACTTGTGATTTTTCTTGATTGCGTCGAAGAAGGGCTTGCACCGGTTCGTCGACTTGGAGATGAACCGGCTTAGGGCGGCGAGTTTGCCGATTAGACTTTGGACTCCCTTGATCGAGGTTGGTGGTCGGAGGTCTTGTACTGCCCGGATCATTTCGGGGCTCGCGTTGATGCCGCGTTGGCTAACAATGTAGCCCAGGAATTTCCCGGACCCGACACCAAACGTACATTTTTTGGGATTTAACTTCATCGAGTAATCACGCAAAATAGAGAACATTTTATTGAGATCGTTAACATGATCAGACGCGTACACGGATTTTACCAACATATCATCTACGTACACTTCCATGCTCACACCTATCAAACTAGTAAACATTTTATTAACAAGACGTTGGTAGGTTGCCCCGGCATTCTTCAGTCCAAATGGCATCATCGTGTAACAGTAGAGTCCGCGTGCCGAGTAGAAAGATGTGTGCTCTTCGTCGTCGGGGTGCATGGATATTTGATTGTATCCCGAGTACGCGTCCATGAAGCTCATCAGCTCGTGTCCCGAGGTGGCGTCTACCATATAGTCGATGTGGGGCAAGGGGTAGCTATCTTTGGGACACGCCTTGTTCAGATCGGAAAAGTCTATGCACAGGCGCCACGCCCCATTGTTCTTCTTCACGAGGACCGGCTTGGCGACCCAGGTCGGGTACCGGACCTCCCGGACATACTCGTTGCCTTTCAACTTTATCACTTCCTCCTCGAGGGCTTGTTGGCGATCAGGGCCGAGCTTTCTCCGCTTTTGCACCACGGGTTTGGCCATGGGGTCGACCTGAAGTCTGTGGCAGGCAACTTTCGGGTCGATGCCGACCATGTCTTCGTGGGTCCACGCGAAGACGTCCGCATTCTCCCTAAGGAATTTGATTAGTTCGGCCTTCAGTGGTTCCGGTAACCGGCTCCCAATTCGGAGTTGCTTTTGACAAGTTTCTTCATCGATGAAAATGATCTCGACTTCGTCCATTGGCTCGGCTCTTTTGGTTCCCCTCTTTTCTTCGTACTGAGTGCGGGGGTCGAGCTCATCTTCTTCCGTGACCGGCTCCTTCCCGGCTCTCCGGCCCCTGTCACGGTCCAGGTCGGCACCGGACCCTTCTTCCACCTGGTCGGCGTCGTCCCCAACCTGAGGGAGCGGACCTGTCTGATTGCTCAGCGTGCGGTCGTCCCCCAGATCGAGACTAGCCTGCTCGGCCCCCTGATTTGGGTCGACCTCGGCGCTCCCGCTGACCAGGTCGGCATTTCTCTCGGACTCGGTGCAGTCCCTCTCTGTTCTGCCCGGCACCGGCTCGGTGCTTTCGCTGGGGACGATCTGCAGAGGTTCCTGATCAGCTGTCATCTCGGTGTCCGAAACGGGATTGGCGGTATTTATCTCCAATCGGGGAATGGTCAGAACGCACTCCCGAGCCTCCCTTTGGTCTCCTCGGTGTGTCCCTTCCCCGTCTGGGGTTGGGAACTTGATGAATAGTGAAAGATGGAGACGGCGCCTCTTAACTTATAAAGCGTTGTCCTGCCTATGATGGCGTTGTACTCGCTCTGACAGTCTACGATTTTGAAGGTCTCGAGGATGGTTCTCGTGGGTTGCCCCTTTTCTCCGAACCGAATCGGCAATGTGACTTGGCCGACCGGGGTGGTCATACGTCCGTTGAAGCCCTGGATCCGTTCTCGGCACGGTTGCACGTCCTTTGAATCTATCCCCATCTTCTTGAAAGTGTTGTAGTAGAGTATACTCGCATAGGCCCCAGTGTCGACCATGATGCGGTGGATCTTGATTGCCATGATAGGCGCGGTGATGACCAACGCGTCGGAGTGGGGATGGTCAAAGAGAAAAGCATCTTCGTCTGTGAATGAGATCTTGTTGGGAGTCGGTTCAGGTGCCGGTCTACTCCCGGCGTGCATCACCCTTTGCCCGGCATGATAGGCTTGTCGGGCATAAGCCTTGGTCTGTCTTCTCGACAGGAGGGATTCTGCTCGGCTGGTGTTCACACGCCAGGGTGGGGAGTAGGTCTGGTCGGCCCCCGATGAAGGGGACCGATTTCGCTTCTGGCCCCTCGAGGTGCCGGCCTCGCCCTGATATGCCGGGTTGAATGTCAGGATCTCATTGGGGCCGCCCTGTTGCGGCTTCTTCCTTCGTGGATTCACGTCGGCTTCGTCTTCACTGTCGAGGCCGTCCTCGAAACGGCCTCCCTTCTTCCTCTTGTCCCCTGAATGGGTAAACCTTTTAACGTGCGGGTCCTCAATCAATTTGAGCAGTGCCGAGATCAGGTTTCGGCACTGGTCGGTGTTGTGTCCGTGAGCCTTGTGGTAGGTGCAGTAACGGGATTTGTCCACCTTGTCCTTATCGGTGAGCATCGGCTTTGGGTCCGGTAGCAACCCTTTGGTCTTAATCTCCTCGTAGACGGCCGCGGCACCTACTGAAAAGACACCTTGAAAGGTCTCCTTGAGCTCCTCCACTTTCTGCCTCCTCATGGCTCGGATCTCGGCAAATGATTTTCCCGATTTTCCTAACTTTTCATCTTTCGCCTTTCCCTTGTTTGACGCGGCATCGAGCACCGGGATGGACGAGGATTCCTCAGCCATGATATAATTTTGGGCGCGGACAAGGAACTCTTGGTATGTGGTCGGTTTATTTTGGCAAAGGGACCACTTGAACAACGTCTTTGGCTTCAGGCCGGCCTGTGCCGAGATCAACAGCGCCTCTGGGTGGCATTGTTCCATGTTTTGGACTCAATCGTTGAATCTAGTTATATAATCCTTCAAGCTCTCGTCCTCGCCTTGGACGATATTGGCGATGGATTCCTTGGGGGCGAGGCTGATCTGCGATCCGATGAAGTGTGATCGGAACGCCGCCCTGAGTTGCCCCCACGTGGAGATGGAGTGGGGATACAAAGAATGATACCACCTCTACGCCTTGGGCCCCAGTGTCAACGAGAACATGCGACAGCGCAAAGCGTCAGTGGCGCCGTGCAGGTCCATCCACGAGGTGTAGAGGCCAATGTGGGAGTCCGGATCCGAGCTCCCATCATAGAGTCCGAGCTGGGGGACTTTGATTTTCTTAGGGACGGGTTCTTGCAATATGTCGGGCGAGAGCGGCGAGGTGTGGTCCAAGACCCGGGGAGAAGGTCGTGAGAAGGGAGGAGGTGGTAGGAACGGAGGCGAGGGTTCGCTTTGAGTGTGGTGTCGACCCTCCAGCTCGGCGATTCTACGCTTAAGGGCCACGACCTCGTCTGCGTCGCGCCCGATGGTTTTTCCCCGTTCAATGACTTCCCTGAGGTCCCGATTGGCTTTGCTTTTGCCGCCAAGGCGTTGATATACGGAGCGGCGAATAACCTGCAGGCTCCGATCCGGCTGGCTTTCACCGGTCTGTTCGGAAGATGTCGGGCCGGCGTGATGAAGGATCGGGTGTTGCGTTCCCTTGACTTGTCTCGATCACGGCTTCGCCACGGCCTTGCTCTCGACGATAGGTGTGATCGACTCGGTTATTAGCCTAACTCTCTCACGATACTTGAGTTCACTCGGGTATTAGCCTCGCTACACTCTCGAAATAGATCGGGTCTTAGCCTCTCTAAATCGTTGAACTGGCTCGGGTCTTAGCCTCACCAATTCGATTGCATGATCGAATCTCACGACTCTAACACACGGTTTCGAACAAACGTTCTTTTCTATTCAACTCATCCAAGACATGAAAAACAATGAGGGAACATCCCTATTTATAGATCCTAACTATGACTAATTCTAATCTACCTAGGAAACATATTAAAGCAATAAAATATTAAATTCCTAAACATTCTAGATATTATTGTGCAAGAAGGAAACTAAATATATCAAAGTCCTAAATTGACTAGATCTTGATCTTGCTTGGCTTGCACTCCAAACAAATCCAATTTCTCTTGCCTTCCAAATCTTCGGCCGCCTCTCTCCTCTCTCACGCGCACCGCCTTCGGCTTCCTATTCCTTGGCGCGCGAGGCATCGCGCGCCTCGTCCGTGTTGCACGCGCGCGCTGTTGCGCGCGCCCCGTCCGCGCTGCCTGCCCCTTGCTCATGCGCCTCCCCGCATGCGTCTCCTAATCCTGCCCCGCCTAGGACATCCGCGCCCGTGCTGCAGTCGCGTGCTATCGCGCGCTTCTCGTTGTCGCTGCCTTCCTCGCACGCGTGTGCGCTACCGTCCTCGCCTAAGCCTACCGTGCATAGGCATGCGCTCGTCTCGCATGCTTCCCTCGCGTGCACACCTTCGCCCAACATCCCTAAGCCCGCAAGGACACGGTTTCCGCCCGCGTTGCTGGTACTTGCGCGCTCATCGTGCGCCTCGCCCCAGCTGGCCACTGCCCGCACGTCCCAGCCACTTGCGCCAGTCCCGCCAGCGTACGAGGCCCACTCGTTCACCGCACTTCCATGTGTATCCCGTTCCGTCCAACCGCGCGCATCATGGGCCGATGCGCGCCACTCGCTCATTTGCTCATTCGCCGGTTGCCGTCCTTATTGTCGCTCATCTTTAGTTGCTTGCCCGATGGCCATGGGTCCCACCCATCCATCCTAGAACAATCTCCCGCACACCATATCCATCCATCTTCCATCCTTTTCTTACCTCTCCTTCTAGCCTCTGATCGCCAAGCCCGTCTCTTCCTTGTACAAGGCTTACACCAACAACATGATTCCTTAGTCTTCGCCTTGCGTTTCCTTTGTGCTCGTTTGGTCTTGCGCTTCTTGATATTCAATTTAGCCCGTGGGCCACATCCTTCCGGCCAGTCCCTCTTGCATGATGGTCGATAAATCGGACTAGATGGCTCCTCCAACATGTTCTCCAACCAAATATCGAGACCATCGTCCTCCTCCTCGTCGGACTCGCCAGGGTTGATGACCACTTCCGTATCACGGCGTCCTTCTCGCGCCGTTCTAGGGCAGCGCGGTTGGGGGACTGGGCCGTCGTCTTGGATTTGGCGGGTTTTTTCTTCTTGTGTCCGTCCGCCTCCTTGGCGGGGGTTTGGAGCAGCGTTTTGCCGGGGCCTTCCGTGGCCGCCACGGTGTTGGCCCCGGCCGTCTGACCAGCGAGCGCCTTTGTAAAGACCCCCTCAAGTGCTTTGAGGACGTCGGGGTGCTGCATGGCCTCCGCGAAAGTCGGAACTGGAGGAACAGGGGCTTGAGTCCCCTGTTGGACTCGGCGGGAGGTTCCCTCGCCGTTGCGCCGACGGGACTGAGTGTCGGATTGCTGTGTAGACTCGTCGTGAGTGGATGAAGTCATCTGTGGTCGATTTTTAGAGCAGGGATGATTTGGAACAAAAGAAAATAGGATGTGGCGTTAAACACCAGGTCGGAAAACGTCGACACCAAGTAACTTATGGTGCCCTCCTTCTAGCGCCAAACTGTTGACGAGCGTTTTCGGTCAACGGTTGAGATTAAAAGTATGGAAAGTGCAGGACTGGAAATAAAGGGAAGATATAGTTTAATTACGATTTTATTTAATGATCACGAGGTCGGCCTCTCGTACGAGGTCGGCACTTATGAGATACTTACAATTCCTTAAGGGGGGTTTCTTACAATTTACAGAGAGAAAGTAGAGGAAAGCTTGAGTTAGTTGGGGTTTCAACAACCCCAAAATAAATGTGGTGGGCTGCTATTTATAGTACTCTTAAATTGGGTACTGTTCACCGGTCTTGTCGTACAGTAAACTTGCAGAGCGGTTCGGCGCCTTCCTAACAGTTCATTAATGCGATTTGAGATTTTCCCAATCATTGCTTGCTAGGCATTAAATGCAAGCATGGGTAGCATTTAATGCTGATTGAACGACTGTGACGGGCCGTCCCATCAGCGAATGATGACCTCCCAAGTGGTGAATATTTCAGTGGCGACCAGACCGGCGCTATCCCTTGGCAGGGCGGCTCTAGCTTATTCAGATCGGCACCTTCGCTATAAAGGTCCGCGTGACCCGTGTGAGCCTTTCTTCAGTTCGGTACCGAGATGAGACCGGCTCGGCTCCCAACATGTCCGGGTGCCGGGCTCGGGAAATGTTCCCTTCGACCCGTACTGTGTATAATTCCTTGGCTCAGGTCGGCTCCTGTGTTCCTGATCGGCCCGGCACTTTCCAGGAGTTCGATCCCATATAACTCATGGGGCCGACCCGCTTGGTTCTGACCCGACCGATCTGGATGTCAACAGCCTTATAAAAATCATGACCGGCTCTGGCTTCACTTCCGTGAGACACACCTGTCAACCCATGTTTCTTTCACTTGGGCCAATACATTAAAGCCATAAATAAAATCTTCTATAGTTCTTTTCTGAAATTTGAATCTCTCCTAATCAATATTGTGAATCATTAAAATTTAAAGTGGTAATATGGCCACACACTTCAATTTAGAATAATTATATTTTATATTGACTAGTTAATTGATCACAAACATTTTCAAACAATTACACTGCTAACTGATTACAAAAGAAAAATTCATTTTTTCAATATAAATTTTGAATTCCAAAAACATTTCAACAAAAACTATAATGTTGAAAAATGCCAATGTAATCTGAACAATGTGGAAAATAAAATACTGCATAAGAGGGAAAAAAAAATCACTGTAAATTTATTAAACAACCCATAATCTATTAAAGTATAAAGAGTCAATGATATTTATTTGAAATAGCAACTAAAAATCAGCAAAAAAAAAAATATTTGATTTCCTGCCAAAAGTATTTACTATGTTAAGCAATATTTTTTACCAAAATTTGAAAAATCCCGCCTAAATTAATGTAATTAATATACAAAATTATTTTGGTCAAATATTGCGGCTATTACCTTTATTAGTTGCATAATTTAAATTTGAAATATATTATATTGACAAAACTTTCAGCTATAACCTTTATTAGTTGCATGGTTTAAATTTGATATATAATATATTGAAAAAATAAAATGATTTTTATTTAAAATTAAAAATAAAAAAATAATTATTCGTAATTTATGGGTTAATATTAACTTGGACGTAAACGAAATAGTCAATTATTTATAGTTTAATAAATTACTCAATAACTTACAGGTCAATATTAATTTGGACGTAAATGAAATAGTCAATTATTTATAGTTTAAAATATTGCTCAACTACTTAATTTTTTTTTATTTGAATAGTTAATATAACATAGATTATTTTAAGTAATGAAACAATATAAATTTTATATTTATACTTATTATTCACATAGGTTGTTAAATATATGATAACACTTTACCAAAATTACTATTTTATGAAATCACATTATTGTCAAATCGAATTTCTGAATTAAATTTTGAAATGATACTTATTTTTAAACGATTATAATGTGATTTATTATCAGTTATGTGCACTACACGAGTTGTGTACTAATTTGAAATAGACATTATTATGTAATTTTGTAGAATTTAAACTTCATATAACATTTTCAATATATTAGAATAAGTAATAATATTAACTGATTCTATATTATTAGTTTATAAATATTACCTAATAAAAACTTTTAATTTATAAATGTTAGTAAATATCTCTTACTTGTGCACTGCACGGGACTCATACTAGTTATGCGAGATAAGATAAACTATTAGACAGTTTAACCATAAGTTAATTACACTTTTTCAATATACATATTTTCATGCTAAAATAACTTACTCCTAAAAGTATTATAAACAAAACATA